TTATTAAGTGCCTACTGTGTGCAAAACACAATGGGAGAGCTATAAATAAAGACAAATAAGAATCTGCTCCTGCTCTCTAAGAGCTTACCATGGCAGATAAGCCAGATACACAGAAAAATAAAATTATTAACAAATAATAAGGGCACAAGAGGACAAAGTGCTATGATCATAGGCTGTGTTTTATAAGAACTACAATTCAATCAGCCCAGGCAGATGAACAAACGAATGAATGAAAAAGCATTTATTAAGCACTTGCTATGTGTTAAGCTATAGAAATTTTAATTCCCTGAACAGCAGGCACACTGCATAGCACCATGGCCCTAAACTAAAGATTAATTAAGTAAGCCAAGACTCTAATTCTTGAGAGTCAGTGAATTTGAGCAGAAAGGGCACTGAACTTTAAGTCAGAAGACCTCGAGAGTCTTAGTATCTACACTTGCCAGCTGGGTGACCGTGGGTAAATCACTTACTTCTCGGAGTTTGTTTCCTCATTTGTAAAGTTGAGATGATCCTGCCTACCTCACAGAGCTATTGTAGGGAAAGTGCTTTATAAGCTAGTAATGTACTATGGCCTTCTTAATTTTCCATTTGGAGGAATGGATGGATTTCCTTGAATAAATCTTCATGTGAGGAGTCAGGCTGCTCAATACTGAAGATGGATAACAAATGGTAAAATAGAATTACTAGCCCTTTTTTTTCTCTTTCCCTCTGATCCCTGTAAAGTTTCTGGTTCTTGACCAGCATGCTGGAACTAAAGTATGGCTCACTGTATGACGGACGGCAGTAGGATGCTTAAGCAACTACTGTGTCATGGGTTGACATGAAACAGGGTGGATGGGACAAATACCTTAAGGCCTCAATGACACGCAATCGCAAATGTTCTAGTACAGCTGGGGACTTCTGGGAATCAGAAGCAGCGGACAGCTTGGAGTCGGAACGGTGGGGGCTCCATTTCAACAAAAGCCTCAGAATGCCAATCAGAGTCCAAGAGCAACCACGGATAGGATCCCAGGACACCCATGGTTACAAAAGCCTGGATTCTCAAGCCTCTAACAAACCTTTAAAAGGGGTAGCCCTTCATTTCCCCAAGTTGGGCAGAAGCACCACATCTATTGAGGCCCACCTGCCACTGCCACTGAGTGACACCTGTCACATTAAATGACCATCATCAGCTATGCTGCCTCCAATCTATCCCACAGACTTTACATTTATATAGGTTGTTTGTTTGTTAGTTTTACATAGTTTAAATTGGGTTGGAATGGGAGGATGAGAATAGAAATGCTAGAAAAAATGATTTTTAAATACCTTCTCTCCTAAGAAAGGCTAACTTGGGATATAATTGTAAGGTATCTAGTTCAACTCTGGATGTGTTGAGCTAGGTATTCAGGGTGGGGGACAAGGAAGGATTGACTGAACAATTATTGCTAAACACAGTAAACTTAGCAGCGTTGATTTCTGTGTAGTCTGCAGTGTAAGGTTTTAAGGCATGAGTACCAATTAGTGTTTTAATAAGTGTGTTAGTTCTGCCCTGTGCCATTCTAGAATACCACAGTATGGTAAATTAAGGGACATTTTGCCCCCCCCATCTTCTTTCATTAGTGTTTTAATGGTAGGAGGTGGGGAAAAGCTGATCCATATTCAGGAGGAGAGGAGGGGAAAACAATAACAAATTGGCATCTCTTCTGAGAATTGCCCCACAGGCCAAGCATTTTTATGTTCTTAATCATTATTAAATGACTTAACATGACACCCAGAGCCTGGCGAATGATTGCATCCTGACATGAGAACGAATTACAAATGAAATGAAAGATCAAGCCGTATTAGAGGACTGCCTCTGGGAAATGAAAATCTTTAATTCTCTTTTATTATTGACATTTATTTGGCTGCCATGAATAACAACATAGCAAAGAGATTCAGCTCTGCTTGTGCACTGAATAGCTTATCCCAGGGCTCAAAACTGCATTAACATTTATCATGTTTGCTTTTGTAGCTGACACTGCCGCACAGATTCTCGATCCATCTTGTATTTATCATGCAGCACAGATATAGTGCAGCCTCTAATTTAAGTTCATTTTCATATGGTAAGAGCAGCAAAGATTAGCAAATGTCCTTCAAATAAGCTCCTGGTTGTAAACATTTCTAAGGGTGGATTAATAGATTTGTTAACAAGATCGGTTTAAAGAATAAAATGAGTGCATGAGGCAAATTCAATGGCTGGATAAGAGTGAAATTTTAAAGGTTTCAGTTTTGGAAAGGACTTGCAAAATCACACTGGAAAAGCTGCTGTTAGTGTGGTTTGCCTCGCTCAAGTGTACAAAGCCTCAAAAAGGAATGTCTTTATACAGATCCAGCAGAGAACACTTTACTGACTTTAAAAGTTAATACTATAGTTCCTGTAAGATGAAGAATGGGGCTGGACGGGTAAGGAAGAGAGGGACAGAGGATGGTGGGACTAGCAAGGGACTGCTGTTTTTCAAAACAGTATTTATTCAACAACTGGAGTAAGCCACTGGAGAAAAGGGGAGAAACTTAGATTGTTCTACCTACAAGTATAGTAGGGATACACAGCCTTCCACTGTGAATTCTTCCCTTCAATTACAGAATTCAACAGACTAAAAGGGTTTTTCATCCCATGCAATGATAAAAGGATATATGGCACTTGTGACTTTGCTTATGCTCTTCTCCTTGCATGGAAACACCCTCCCCTCTTGCACCTGGCCCATTACGTCCTACTTACTCTTGAAAGCCCAGGTTGCTTATTTCCTCTATTATGTTTTCTTCCTCCACTTAAGCCTCCATTGATCTCCTTCTCTGAGTCCCTAGAGCACTTAAGAGTCAGAGAATTGCAAAGCTGGAAGAGATGTCCCGGGCCATCTAGTCCAAGTAAACCATGAATCTCCTACACGTCATCCCTGAGAGCAGATCCTGCACCTGTAGCAGGAAAGTTACTCCTTTGAATAGCCCATTCCATTGTTGTTCACTGCTCAAGATTAGGAAAGGTTCTGCTACCTTGTCAACCTTGGTTGTTTTTTTCCCCAAACATGTTAAAAGATACTTTTCATAAACAATCATGGTAACTCAGGCAGGACATGGGCTATGATCCCCAACAAACTGTATACAACAACTTTCAAACACCTGTCCAAAAACTACCCAAAACATAAGTCATTCTAAAACCCAGGGAAAAGTTTTCCTTTTATCCTTTAAACAGGAAAAACTAAAAGTGAGGGTGGACACTTTCACATGCAGCACATGTCACTTAAGAGGTTTTCATAAGCCTACCTTGACTTTGAGTCAATGAAATGAAAACTGCTTAATTCTTAATTGGAAAAAAAAAACCACCCCCAATATAAAAGAAGAGAGCTGGGGCTCTTCTGAAGGAGGCCATGTCAGGGTCACTGCTGAAGTCCAAACTGCTCAATGTGATCTGTGGGATCTTCACTGTTCCTTTCACTCACGTTCTGTAGCCTGGGGCCAACCACAACAAATTAAACAACTTTCAAATACGTGAAGACAGCCATCTCATTCCACCCACCTCCACAAATTCTCTGTTCTCTAGACCACGCAGCCCAGATCTTTTCATTGATTCTCACATGGGATAGTTTTCAGGGACCCACTTTTATTGTCAGGGCTGCCCCCCCATCTGTCAATGTCGATACTAAAATCAGGCATCCATAGACAGAAAAGAGCCTGACCAAAGCAGGGGCACTTAGATTATTGCCTCCCTCACTTTGGGGAAAGCTGATTTTTAAAATTAAAATTTTATTTTTTTAAATGAACAAAAAGTTATTTTCTTTCCTTCCCACCCCAACTTCCATTTAAAAAAAGAAAAAAAAAGCCCCCTTATAACATATATGCATACTGAAACAAAACAAATTCCAACACTGGATATGTCTAAACAATTTATGTCTCATTCTGTATCCGGAGTCTGGGTGAATATAATTTAGCATTTATTTACAAACTTGTATCTTATATTGTTTGTAACTTAGTTTTGCAAAGTAGGCAAGATGGGCAAGTTTACATGACATTGAAGGTAATAAGAGCCCCTTTCCTGCCTCCAAAGTCTCCCCTCCCCAACTAGACTGAAGGCTCCTTGAAGGTAGGAACCACTTGTTCTGTATCACCTAGGTAGCAAAGTACTTGAAATCTGGAAGACTTTAGTTAAAATCCTGCCTTAGATACTTACCAGCTGGGTGATGCCAGGCAAATCATTTAACTTTTGTTTGCCTCGGTTTCCTCATTTATAAATTGGAGATAATAATGCCCTCCTTACCAGAGTGAGTGTATGGATCAAATAAGTTAGCATTCGCATAGCTCTTTGTAGATGGTAAAGCACTATATAAAGGCTAGCTATTCTTATTACCTAGAAGATCTACTCCATGTTCAACCAAGTGATGGTATTAACCCAGATGCTCAATCAAATGCAAATGAAAAAGGAGAGCTACCATACTGGCAACACCATTACTCTGCATTCCCTGATGCTGTAAAAATGACGGCCATGCTGGACAAAATACCTTTTCCAACTTTCCCACAAAGCGCTGTGAAACAGACAGTGAAGGAAAACGACAAGTGAGAATTCGGACTCCACAGCATCAAGCCTGGGAATTCACTTGGTCCTGAATTTCACTCCTTCATTTTCACAAAAGCTCAAACTTACCACACTAAAGAAGCAACAACTGCTTCACCAGGAAAGGGTGTTTCTAGTTTCTCAGCAAAGACATTTAGATGATGAGAAAATCTCCCATCAGAAAAATCGAAATAAATCACAGTTTTAGGATTGGCCCTGCAAATATAACTTTTTGTAAGACATCACCTTTTCAAAAGAAATCTTTGCTGTTGAGAAACAGAAGGCAGAATCTATTTATTAAAATTTAAAAAACCCCCCAAGTTAGACACATTACTTTGAATATATTATGAAAGAGTAAAATTTGCGGCAAGTGATAAAGATGTGATTAATGATTCTAACATGGTATATATCACACACGGCCCATATGTGCATGTACCTGTAGCCATGATTGTATCGTTTTTCCCTTGGGTGAAGATTACAGTTCGCTGCCTTTTCAAGTTCACCTTTGGCAGGGCTTGTGCCTTCCGGGCTATCTCTTTAATTTCTTCAGTCTATTAATAGAAATGAAAAGGAAATTTTATAACCAGTACAGGAGAACAGAACTTTATTAACAGATCAAAGATTTTGCTGCTTATGAGAATAAGATAGACTGGGTGATTTGCAAAGCAGGGAGGATATTTCATTCTTTCAGAGGTTTACACAATATGATGATGCTATTGACTTAATTTTGGAAATAATATCGTAGCTAAACCAACTGCTCTAACACAAAGCTGAAATAATTGCCATCAAATACAGAAATGTCTTTTCTGGAGGGCTTCTACTCCAGCTGGTCCTGCCTGTTCCTCCCAACATTCCATGTCTAGCTCTGAAGCTCCACAGTCTTCTGCCCCCACCCCTAACCCCTCAGTGCCATCCCTATGGAGGCATCCCTTTCCATCACAAAAGCTGTTGGCCTGGAAATTTCAGGCGGGCAGGAAGTGGTTTCACATTTTATTATCCTTAGTTATGAGGAGACCGACATACAAACCTAACATGTTTAGAAGAGGAGGGGACCAAAGGTAGATGGACAACAGGAATCACGGGAAGCCATTTCAAAGAAATTATCCGTTTGTTCACTTGGGTTTATTATCTCTCTCTCCTAGTCCCACCACCTCATCTGAACAACAAAAAATAAGGAATTAAAGGCAAATGACTTGTAGGTGAGATGATTGGGAAGGAGCCATGGAGGTAAAATAGGCAAGTTTCCTTGGGTTAACAGCCTCCTAATTAGTTTTCCTGCCTCTAGCATCTCCCCTCCCAAGCCTTCTTCTACAAAGCCCTCACACAGATATTCCTAAAGCTTAGGTCTGACCATGTTACTACTCCTCTGCTCAAGAATGTTCAGGGGCTCCCTGCTGCTACTGAGATAAATTCACACTCATTTGTCCTTCAAAGCCCTTCCCAATCTGGCCCCAGCCTCCCTCTGTGGACTCCATGCATAGCTGCACTCTACACACCAGGAAAATGACCTTCTTGCTGTTACCTGGTACATGACATTTTACTCCTTCTTTCCACCTTTGAACAGGCAGTCCCTCATCCTTGGAATGTACTCTCTACTCATCTTGGCCTTTCTTCAAGGTTCTGCTCGAGCACCTTCTCCTACACAAGATCTTTCCTGGTCCTCTTGGTCCCTAGTGTCCTACACAGCCATGCACCCCTCCCCCCATCTTTATATTTGCTTTGAATTTATTTTTCAACTTGAAAGGCAACATGGTTTAGTGAACAGAGAGCTAGTCATGGAGTTGGGAGGACCTTGGTTCTAGCCCTTGAAAACATACTGTGACCCTAGAGAAATCACTGAATATCTCAATGGCTCAGGCAATGTTCTAAGAACTATTGTTTGAAAAGTAGTTTAAGATTTGCTAGATACTTCCTCACCAAGAATTCCCCAACACCTAGGGAAATCACAGAGGTGGGGGGAAAAGCTCTCCAAATATTTTCAACTTTCATTCTCACAATGACCCATTATCCCCATTTCATGGATGAGGAAACTGAGGCAGAAAATGATTACGTGACTTGCTCTGGGTCACACAGCTAGCTCATAAGTATCTGAGGCTGGATTTTCTGGACTCCAGGTCAGTGCTCTGTGCACTGCGATGCCCTCTAGGGTGCCACAGAAGTGTGCAGAGCATATTCCACTTTTGTTTCTGTACCCGTAGTGTTGAGCACAGCGCCTAGCATGAAGCAGGCACCTAATGTTGTTGCTGTTGTTATTTGTCCTTCATTTTGAAGAGGACCAATGACAGTGAAGGCAGGAGGGAATCCTGGATGAAATATCTGCATGCTGACACTTAAGGAAGTAAGAGGGGATGTGCCCAGAATGAGGAGCATTCACAACCCAAGCCGTGCTACGGCCCCTGCCCCATGCCAAGCAGGCCACCTCATCCTGGGCAGGGGCCTGCTGGCCTTGCCATCATCTCAGCTTCACTTCCAGTTGCTGCTTATGAGTAGATTTCAGAGGCCATAGAGCTTTAACCTTCAGTTTTTTGGAGTGCAGGTGTTGGGCTGAATCAGGATCATCTTCGTTATCTTCCTTTCAAAAACCAGAGCTGCAGTAATGATGAAAGTTATGCATTCAAATCCCTCCATCTTCTCAACAGGCTGTGGGCTTGACACAAAGTCTGACACTCTACTTTGAGAATGGGTTCAGGAAAAAGTTTGGGGCTCTTGTATGGCCTGCATGCTTGTTAGAGATAAAACACAGTCCTCAGAAAGTCTCTTGGCATGCACTTGAAAGTAGAGTCAACGAACATGCTAACAGAACAGGAAAGGTAACTCCCATCGCCACAGCACTGAGGTACAAGGGATAAATGGAAAAGGATGTGATGGCAGCCCACTAATGAAAAAAGGACAGAGAACATATCTGCACAGCAGGAGAGAAGACTTTTCTATTGAAATTTTAAAAATCTCATCTCCAGAATATGAGGATTTTTCTTTGATCCTCATTTGAAATACGTGCTTGATATAACAGGGACTAAAGCTCTTTTTTTGGATGAAAGATTGACCTCTACAAATTTGGAGAATGGGAAAAAAGGAAACCAGTCATTTTAAGTCTTGAAGGTGTTCAGAGGAGTTCACTCGTTCATCCAACAAACAATGATTAAACACCTAATAATAACAATAATAATAGTATTACATAGTACTTTAAGGTTTACAAAAGTCTTTACCGATATCATGTAATTTTATCTCCACAGCAACTCCAGGAGGTAGGTGCTATTATGGTACTTATTTTACACATGAGAAAACTGAGGCAGAGAGGTTAAATGACTTGCCCATGGTAACACAGCTAGCGTCTGAAGCCCTGTTTGAATTCAGTTCTTCCTGACTCCACGCCTATCCTCCAGTGCTCTATCTGCTGCACCCATCAGCTGCCTAGGAACGTACAGAACACTTATGCTGAGTGCTGGGAGAGATAAAAAGTTCAACTAAAACTTACTATCTGTCCTCAGGAGCTTTATAATCTAATATTTATACAGAGCTTAAACATGCACAAAACACTTCCCTTCCAACAAGCTTCTGAAGTAGAGAATCCGGTACTATTATCACCATTTACAATGAGGAGTTGGGGCTCAGAGACACTAAGTGACTTGACTATGGTGTGGTCAGAGAGCGAGAAAATGAACCTGGGTCTGTCCTAGCTCCAGTATCAGAGGTCTTCTCTCAACAGGCATTCCACTTGGGTCACAGTAAAGAACCCAGAACAAATCTTGGAATAAAGGTAGCACAAGGCTAGAAGAATGTTTGTGGTCATTTAAACTGCTCTCCTGCCTGTAGATAAGCCAACAGGTAAAGATTCACATGCAGCTTTCTGCTGTTTTATATTTAGAGACATTTAGAAAAATGCTTACATCTGTCAGTCAGTCATTCTAGGGCGTAACAATGTCAGCCATGGCCAAGTGCCTAACTCACATTCCTCACAAAGAAGCTTCAGAACACTTCCTCTACTCCCACTTAACTGAGAATAAAAACAAAACAAAGCAGTCATTCCTTGTGCTCATAGAAAACCAGAAAGTACTGTTAAGGGTCTCCGCAGCCTTCTCTTCTCCAGGCTAAATCCTACTTCACTGAATATTTCCTTATGTATACTGCTCTGCAGACCTTTACATAGCTGCATAACTTTTCCTTAAACTCTCCCCAATTTCTCCACATCTAGAACTTGGCTCCTAAACTCTACAGACACAAGGGTCTCTCATTAGCAATAAGTACTGAGAATCTGCCTATGAAATGTATGTAACAAAATTAATCTATACATCTTAGAAACATGCTGCCTCTACCCTTTCTTTTAAGGGTACTACCCAGCCAATTCCTGTCTAGTTTATGACCAGCCATGACTTTTAATTTCATTGTTATAATCCTAAGAAGTCATTCCTTGTCTTGCTCTTATGAGGTCGGTCTCTGTCCATGAGCCCCTACCCCAAGTGCCTTTGCTTGCACATTTCCTAATTAGCAGGGTTCTTTGGACAGCTAGATGGTTCTCCTCTCCAATTTATTGTGATCATTCTGAAGTCTGACCTCTTCTTTCAATATGCTGATATGCACTTTTGTGTTTTATTTCACCTGCAAACTTACTGTTCCTTCCAGCCCACTATTGTGGTCACAGATACAAAAGCTGAATACCGCTGGGGGGAAAGCCAACACCAGCAGAATGCTATTTCTGACGTTCCCCAAATGCTGCCTCAATTGATCATAATACTAAGCGTTTTCCAAAAAGACGGGAATCTACTTAAGAGATCTGAAGTTAATATGCTATGTCAGGGAGCATCTTACATAGATGGAATCAGAAAAAACAAACAAGTAACCATCCCTTTCACTTCTTCTGAGTTGCATGGATCCTTCTTCACACTATGAGAATTTGCCTAAGGATCCAACACTGTGGTCTTCTAGCAGGACCTGGGTTGTTTCGTTAAGGAATATGGAGCACAACCGAGAATGACAATGGGGTTATTGGACTCCCTGGAAAGAAGCACTCTGTGAATTTCAAGGAGGTTGGAAGGATTTACTCCATCATCCTGCAGGCATAGAGTTACTCTGCATGGCCATTCCTCTCCTCTGTGGGGGTAACTTTTGGAGGCCTGGACCCTTTTCTCAGGAATTCTCTAGGATTCTTTGCATCACAGTGCTTCAGCGCTCAATCTGGTCTTCCTGACCCTTACTCTTACAGGTGTACAGGCAGGTAGAGGAGCGGGAAGGTTTCTGATCCCAGACTCTGGACTGGTTATAAAAATACACTTCAGGGATTCACAAAGCAGGCGGCCACATATTACAGAATCACTGCCACCAACCGAGTCAGATAGACATGGCTCATAGCAAGAGAAAACAAACTGCACAGCAAAGAAAGTCTGACCTCTTAATCACTCAGCACATGCTTCATTCACAGACAATGATAAAATTAAGTACTTTTGTACTGGAACTTTTGTGGACTTTTCCCCTCTTTTCATTTTATTCAAAACAATTTTTAATAAAGATTTTAAGGGCTTCTATAAATGGAACACACTTTTAAATTGCCCAATTTTATTTGATGTAAGTTCTAAAAATATAAATCTTTAAGCATCACATTCTCAAAATAAGGTATATTTTAAAAATCATTCCCATTTGAACTGAGTTTCTAGAATAATAAAAGACCTTGTGAAACTTTACCCCCAAGTACTGTCATTTTAAATTCTTAGCAGGGCTGTCATTTAAATCAGGTACCAAGCAATTTCCCATCACTTCCATAAAAATACCCTCTCTCTTCTGCTTTTTGCTCTGCCCGGCTCCAATTCTTATCTCACTCTCCAGTACCCTGCTAGCTGTCTCTTTTTTACTGTAAATTACTGAATCCATTTTAGAGATTGAAGAGGTTTTTTTTTTTTTAAAGAAGCATTATCCCAAATTTACAAAGATGCTAAGTAGAATGTCAGGAACAATAACACTGTGGACATTTCCTGATGATTAAACATTATTATTACTATTTTTTAAAATTTGAGTGGCTCTTTCAGCAGATAGATCAGTGGCAGCAAATATTATGTTTTTATTGCCCTCTTGAGCTCAAGTTCTTTGGGATCCAACTGGGACCAATTCTTGGTGAATACAAATTGTAATTGAAGGATACAGAGACAGTGGTGTTGAAAAGGATAAATGCTTTCCCTCTTCCCTTTCTTCTTGAGCCTACAAGTTACACTTTTTTACTCTCTGACAAAATTCAGAGGAAAAGGGAAGGAGGGTTCAGACGGAGAGTCCAAAGAGTCCAAAAAGGCTTCAGACCCATGATAGGGTCTCATCGTACTTAGGACTGTTTGGGTGAAGTAGCCTGTGCTTGTCAGCAATATCGAGCCCTTAAGCTAAGGTTTCCATATTATTGTTTGCTGGATGTGGCATTATGAAATCATGGAGCTTCTCCCATAGGCAATTAAGTGTTGTTATTAATGAAATGCCTAACTGAGGTTATTCTACTTGTGGCCCATGTTTACACAATTCGGTTTTTTGCAAACCCAGGGAGGGAGAAAGAAGACTGTCACTGATAATGCTGTAAATCCATCAATCTTACACATCACCGTCCACACAACTGACAGGTCAGTTTTTGCCCTGTAAAGAGCTAATCAGGTAAAGAATCATAATCACTGCGCACTTTGCTAGATGCTGCAATCAAATATGGCAGACATAAAATGACCAGAGGAAGCCCACACTGGCATCTCTAAGTACTAATAGAAAAGCTAATATGATGGTGGTTAACAGACAACAGCGAGAACAGCGTGTCACTAAAGCTGAATTTAAACCAGGCACATCCAGAACTTGAGCTCAAGAGGGCAATACAAACATAAAATGGGCAAGCTTAATAAACTATTTTCTCTTTTTTATTGTCTAGCTACTTTGGGATCAAGCTCATTTATTATGCTACACGTTATATTTCTAAGCATCTATAAAATGTGTTTTATTTGACAGAACAAATCCAAAATACATTTTAAAAAACACAAGATACAACAGAAAAGGAGCCTGATGGAAAATGAGAGATCTGCATTCCACAAGATTCTATCTATTAAAGATTTCTGATGTATATGGCAACCTAGGGCATCTATTTTTAATATGACAATTTTTCATCATCATCACCATCATCTCAACTTTTAAAAAATGTATCAGGAATATTTGTATTCTAATGATCTAAACATTTGTCTACTCAGATGAACATTCTCCCAGCTGCATTAATCTTGCTGGCCTATTAATGGTTTGAGAAATTATAAAGTGAAGCAAAATATGAAAAAAAATGAGTGCATGCTCATCATCTCCATCAAGGAGACTACCTTGAAACAAACATGCAAACACATACTGACCCAGCATCTCAGTTCTCACAAGGCGAGATTCTGGGGGTCAGGGTCCAGGATTTGGAACCAGAATCCCCAGAGAGTTCTCCAGGGTGCTAATGTGTGACCTTTGGCAGCTAAGCAATTACTTACACTCCAGGCCTCATCATCCTCATCTACAAAAGGCCCCGGGTTTCACTGTCAAGTGTAGTGACATGGGTGAAATGTATGCTTCCTTTGAGTACAGAAACTAGCCATTTCTACCTTTTAATACCAAGATAATCACAAATTCACACACCACTTTCTTCTGAGAGGCTCAAACTGGGTTATGCTAATATCACTCAATCACCCTCCATTGGCTTCCTTGGGTAGTAGGAATACAAGGTGAAGGTTTGTGTATCCTTCTCCACTCTTCCCCCTACCGCTCAGATTTAAACAAGTTCTTTATTATTTAACATTTGGGCTGAATGGCATACTAAGGTATTGTACAGAACACAGAATTATACATAGACCTGCCCACTCAATCTGACAGTCAGAATGGATTTCCTCCCCCTCAGTTAACCTGGCTTCAAATTAGGAGCTGTGTTTTCCAACATCATATTGTGAGGCTATATTCCATAGCTAATCATTTGGCAATGACTGCGATCTGATTGGAGTCAATAATAACCCCACAGAGCCTCTTGAAAAAATATCTCGTCAAGATTAAAACTCACAGGCAAGTGGAATTGAGGTTTTGTACATCATTGCTGAGCACCAGTGTTTACTTCAGTTAATCTATGATTGGGGTGGTGGCAGTGATCCTATTTCTGTGTATTTTACATTATGTAACCTCCACCCCTCCCCCAAACAGGCAGTTTATGTAAGTGAGGGTTTAAATTAATCAGTTCCTAACAACTTTAAATACAACCTTTCTGAAATTAATTTGCATAATGAGAATGCATATGTGGCAGGGCTGAAGTTATTTCAACAGTGTCCTATTCCACGCTTTAGTCTTGCCCTGCCACTGCTGCAGCCACGGATCTTCATGGAGTGTAATGCAGCTAATGAGGTAGCTTTTTAACTGAGCCAACTGACAGGCCCCATATCTGCAGAGGCAGCTTGAAATCGTGCCCAACCTCTTGGCTTCCCAAGAGGCTTTTCAAAATTCAATAAATAACATCTGTAGGCGATGTTGGGTGCAGACCTAGCAGAGTGCGTCATAACACTGTGCTGGCAGAACAAAGAAACCATGACGACTGCCAGGTTTCCATAGCAACGGCGGTGCAGCTCGGGGAGTATAATAGCACATCAATCACTGTCCAAAAGAACTTCATTATCAGCAAGAAAAAACCTTTAGGATCTGTTTAGTGTGCAATTGTGGGTTAACTCACCTCGAAGCCTTGCTCTCTAGCAAAAGTGGCGGCTTCCTGAAATAAGAAAAGGAACAGTTAATTATAAAGTGCTAGATAATGAAGAAATAACCCATGCTGAAGCGCATCCAAGACGTCTTCCTTTGACACAATTATCTCCATGTACCCAGAGAGTGCCATTTTGATGCTGGTATTGAAAAGATCCCCCCCACCCACCCTGTTCCCCACCCCTGCCCAAGGCAACATAACTGCCATGGATTTCACAAGGTCAAATGGAGAAGATGCAGGACATGTTTTCATGTGGATGCCACATTGAGTGCAGGTGATATGACCTCAGTCAGTGAAGACAACCACTTCAAACCAGAGAAACAGACTGACAGCTACACCTTTAATCACAAACAAAACCACCACGGTTTTACTATGTGACCTTAGACGTCCAAAAGTTAAACCTAAAAATAATCTGAGGTCTCATGGGGTTTAACAAAAATCTTAATGCTAATGGCACAATCCAAGGGACATATTAGATATAATAAGCCTTAATTACAGGTGAAAGCAATATAACAAATGGCAGAAATACATCCAGGCAGTCAACCCCCTTTCTTTTTATTACTGATCAAACCTGTTTGTTTCATGCCCATATTTTTAAATCCAAGGCTGATAAAAAATGGTAGCAATTTCACTTCCCAATCTGCTTCTCTCTTTAATATGAAAAAATATTGCAGACAACTGTCAAGAGCCTTTACATCTTAACTTACATTCCTCCAAATTATCTCTGCCAAGAGATATTAATAGAAGGATGGGCTTTGAGCCTAACAGGGTAGTGAGCAGATCCAACTAGAATGAAATGACTGCTTCTCCAAGCCATGTAAGGGAGAAAGGAGAGTCTGGGTTTGGACCACCGCTTTCAATACTACCTAGGTGTTAGATAACACATTAGCAAAGCTTTGAGTGGGAGCGAGCGTGCACACACACCCTCTCCCTCCTACTGAATCATACAGATTGGATCTGGAGGGCCATTTTGAGAATTCGGAAAGGGCAAAGCGGATGATTACAGCTGGACATTGAAGTTAATAAAAAGTGATAAGCTGGAAAGCATAACTCCTCAGGCTGCTTGCTAGAGAAACATGAGGCTGACCAGGTTAGCCTAAGCTGATGTTGATCCCCTCCCCAATGCGCCCCCCCCCCCCAATTGAATCGTGGCCTTGACAAGTAGGTCCAGGCAAGGTTAGCCACTTGGACAATTTGTTTACGATAGCACTCCTTCTTGTACATCACACAGTCAATGACACTTGCTGGCCTAGCTGTCAAAGAAGAGTGGAAGGATCAAACTCTATCAAAGCCATGTTTTCCCAAGCTGCCATGTGATTAGCTAAGCTCATTCTCATATAAAAAGACAACTATTTATTTATGTAGAACTTCACTATGGGCATGGAAGACTTCCAGAGGACTGAGACACAAGGGTAAGAGGGGGAATTTGGGGAGTCAGGAGGGGGATAAAACTAATAAAACACAATGCTCAAAAGCAAATCAACAAGAAAGGATCACACAAAACTGCACAAAATCAGGTAAGCTGAGAGAGACCAGTTGCATCATAGCATTACTTTTTCTATTGCAACAAGTCATTTGCAGCTTTGTTTAACTATTGCTAAACTAGAATAATGGTAATAACAAAGGATTCTAAAGAACAGTGATACAAATATACTTCTCATTGGAGAAGGGAAGACATTCAAAAAAGGTTACTTCCATTTTCTATCTCAGAGTCTCCTAAAATGGCAAGGACTATGGGCCCTGTCATCAGAATGGTTAAGCACTTTATTCTGAGCCTTCAAAAGATCTTATCTTTGGACTTCCTCCCACCTTCCTTTGATCTTGGGTCTGGAACCCTCATCACTCCATTAGAGAAGGCAGATGGCTCCTATCACTGCTGACTTTCCCTAACTCTGATCTGAAGGTGTTTTTGGCTTAGGGAAGTAACAATACTTATTTTATTTTTCCCTCTCAATCAAACTCAGCAACACTGGGACAGTTTGGCATAGTGAGGATTTTAAGCAGAATTCTAATCTCTGGGCATTGAAGGCCTAAGAGTACTGGGAGTGTGGGTGGGGCTGTAACTCTGGGCAAAGAAGTAAGAAAGGTTCCAAACATCAATTGCACTTCCAAGAAAATTAACCAGATTATAATGAAGAGGGCTTCCCAGTGTCTTTTCATAGCAAAAGTGAGAAAAGGAAACAAGCAGTCCCCATCTGTGCTGCCCGGGGCACCAAAGACTGAGTTTCCCATATCTAATAAAGCAGTCAGGTGAAAATCCAACCTTGGAGTGGCCGTGACACGTGGAGAATAGCTGAGGTTAGGAGAGGGAAGCAGGATGGTTCCTAATGGAGGTGATTATCCATGTGATAATCATTATATTTAAAGGGTTTCCATTTTGGATTTGACATTAAAAAAAAAAGATCACAAAGGAGGAGGGATTAAGGAAATAAACAAGCTTCCCAGAAGCTTTTGCTCCCCTGAGAGAGCAGCAGCTCCATCCATGCATGACATGCGACAACAGCAAAGCCAAGCAGGCTGGGGAAGAGGATACCTCTTTGCATTTTGAAAACTTTCCCTATGATTTCATCTCTCCCAGGCAGGTCATATTTTCAGCCTCAGCCCCCATTGTCATTTAGGCTATCATTCTGTACCATTTGGGGTTTACAAAGAGCGCTATCCCCATAATATGTCTTTCACAACAACAGAGGCATTTTTTCCTTTCTGGAATTGGCTGTTGTGAATAAAATGACATACAATTAATGCCTCAGATCCTCATCTAGACCATACCATTTGGACTTATACATCACAGTAGGTTTGCTGTTTCTGAGATCAGGCTGAAAATAGCAATGGGGAGCCAACAAACAAAGCTTGGGCTCCAACAGCCAAATGGAGGTGGTGGCTGTTGGGGTCATTTGCTTAAAGAAGATACCTGCAAAATAATGGCAAGTGAAAACTATGTATGCATACTTGTATAAAAAGCTATTGGAAAGGTATCAGCATACCATTATTAAATAGAATTTACATCCTCTTTAAAGAATAACACTGTTCAGTTTACTGAGAAAAGGAGATAGCTTCATTTTATATATATATATTTTACACACACACGTATATATACAAATGTAAAGACAACTTCTATTAGTATAAAATGGGAAAACAACCCCCTCTTTTTGCTTTTATGTGCATTTCAGGTAATACTCCAGGGCTTCTTTCTTTTTTTTTGTTTGTTTTGTTTTAGGCAATTGGGGTTAAGTGACTTGCCCAGGGTCACACAGCTAGTAAGTATCAAGTGTTTGGTCTGAGGCTGGATTTGAAGTCAGGTACTCCTGACTTCAGGGCAGGTGCTCTATCCACTGCGCCACCTAGCTGCCCCTTCCAGGGCTTATTTCAAAAAACAGAACTACCTCTGACATAAATGAGGCTCACCCCAAAGCCTGCTTATCTTCTTAGCTTGGGGCTGTGAATGTGTTCCTATGTAAAAGGTTTTTTGTTTTTTTAAAATTAGGTAATCAAACACCAGAGGTGAAGTGTAGAGTAGTGGATAGAAAAGTAATCTCAGACTTTGGAAGACCAGGGCTCAAGGCCAGCCTCTGATCCCGGCTACCTATGTGAACCTGGGCAAGTCACTCTCAGTGCTCCAAGGTCACTCTCCAAGACTAGGTCCTGACAGGCCTTGGCAGAGGAAGCTCATCACCTGGAGCTCTTCCTCCTAGTGAAAGGACAAGCAAACACCTTCAAAGAAAACAGTCTATGATTTGATAGGGGCAGGTGACTCAAAGCCTTCACGTGGTCATGCCTGTCTGGCAATTCTGGCTGGGAGCAGGGAAAATACAAACTGCCATAAGACAAGGACTGCTGTTTTGAGGAATCAGGTTAAGACCTACAATTAGATATCTCACTTCCTGAATTTTGGCTTCTAGGATCACAGACTTAGAACTAGATGGAATCTTAGAGTTCATTAAATCCAACACTTCATTGGACAGGTAGGGAAACTGACAGAGAGAACTTAAATGACTTGGAAAGGGTCATACAGCCAATAAGAGTCTGAGAAAGGACTCTATCTAATTCAGCACTCTATCCACTGTACCACCTAGCTGCAATGTCCCAATTATACTAGGGCATGAGGATAAAGAAGACAGGATCCCTGACCTCCAGAAGCTCATAAGAAAGTAAATTATGGGACAAGATCCCCTCTTAGAGAAAATACCTGGCCCCTAGAATATGTTCCGCTTGATGTTTTTCTTAGAAACATCCCTCTGGGGGCAGCTAGGTGTCACAGTGGATAGAGAACCAGCCCTGGAGTCAGGAGGACCAGAGTTCAAATTGAGCCTCAGACACTTGCTAGCTGTGTGACCCTGGGTAAGTCACTTAGCCCCATTGACTACCCACCCTCCCCCCCAAAATATCCCTCTAGAAATTTGAGATCACCTTGGTGGAAATAAAGATTTAAATTCCTCAGAGAACACCAAGGAACATATACATTACCAGTGAGTGTAGGGACTGCATAAAATTAAAACTAACTTCCTGTAAGATAAGCTGCCAACAGCTGCTACACTGCAATGTATATATACTCGGCTGCAAATGCCCAAGTTCAGGGATGACAGGATGGTTGAGGCTTCCTATCCCTGAAAAGCCTTGAATGCCAGGAGGTACTTGCCAACTGCGTTCAAGACCCTGGACAACTTCCTGAGTAATGGGAATATAGACAATGACTGGTGGTCCTTATTTTCAGCAACTGTTATTTCCTGAGAACAACGTGGGGATTGGGTTTATCCCTGAAGAAGAAAAGTACTGTCCCTTTCCTGGAAGGAATGTGCTGCTGCTACTACTACTACTACTACTACTACTACATGGGCCACACATTTTGAATCTCACAGTAGAAGACTAGACTATACGAAGCTGTCAGATACTACACTTTGGGGGACAACGTAATTAACTCCATTAATTGTATTAATGGAGGAGACTCTGAAATAGGTGAATGACCATCAAAGACTTTCCAGGCTTTTAACATGTACTTGTATATTTCCTAC